ACCAGTGCTCCCACCACCGAGGGTGGCAACCCGGCTGCCAACACAGTTGCCCCTGGACGCCCGGAGCCCACTCCAGCAGTTGCTGTTGCCGACCCTGACGCGGCTCCGGCCCTGACTGCAACTCTAGCTCAGACTAAGGATGAGGCCAAGCCTACCGAGGCCGGTGACGATGTTCGCACAGAGCATCTGTTCAAGCACCCTCTACACAACACATGGACTCTCTGGTACTTGGAGAACGATCGTTCAAAGTCCTGGGAGGACATGCAGAATGAGATCACAAGCTTTGATGCCGTCGAGGACTTCTGGAGTCTATACAACCATATCAAGCCTCCATCTGAGATCAAACTGGGCAGTGATTACTCGCTCTTCAAGAAGGGAATACGGTGAGTGGCAAAAGGGTGTGGCAGCAATCCGTATAACTATTGATTTCTTTATCTTCCAGCCCCATGTGGGAGGATGCTGCCAACAAGCAGGGCGGTCGCTGGGTGATCACCCTCAACAAGAGCTCAAAGACCGATTTGGATAATTTGTGGCTCGATGTGGTAAGCGGTAGAGCTATTGTATATCACTCGACAACTATTAAATCCAATATTAACTTATCCATCAGTTGCTGTGCCTGATTGGAGAGGCCTTTGATCATTCGGATCAGATTTGTGGTGCTGTCGTTAATATTCGTGCCAAGAGTAACAAAATCTGTAAGTAAATCAATGTCCATTCTATGAAACCCTTGGCTAACCCTGTGCCGCGCTCTTCTCTTAGCCATTTGGACAGCCGATGGAAACAACGAGGAAGCTGCTCTGGAGATTGGCCACAAGCTGCGCGATGCCTTGCGTCTGGGACGCCAGAACTCGCTGCAGTATCAACTTCACAAGGATACCATGGTCAAGCAGGGATCCAACGTGAAATCTATCTACACATTGTAAGTGGCGGGCCATGCTCGCCAGTCGTTACCCAAGACTTTAATTTATTTTCATTGCCTCTTATTAATAATAGTTAAACCCAACAGAAATTAATCGTAACATATGTCCAAGACCCCCGAAATGAAAAAGAAACCGAAACCGAAACAGAAACAGAAACACTACTACGCTTTAACATCGTTGCAAAAATCGACCAACACAACATCAACCCGTATTCTGTAGAGAACATTATTGGAACTTACGAAAAATAAACACGCGTACACTAAAAAAGGAACATAAAGGTTGTTTTAATTGCATTCTCTTGGGTGTATGGTCCGTATTTGGAATGAATCCTAGAATGGATTTGTCCTTATTGGAAATGGGCTGGTACAGAACCGGAAATTTGGCCATTTTGTATCAATATTTATCTGTCGTAACCACAGAGCTGCATTTCTGGCGTATTCGTGCCGCATGTGTGAAAACCAGCCACAGCAGGCAGCTTTTATTTGGATGAAACGAAAGAACTGCTGTCTCACTCTCATGCTATCTCTGTCTTTGCAGCACCATAACACCATTGTTTTGTTATTTTGTTATAGCAACCGAAAAATCAATCAATATGCACAATGCAAATCGATTTGTGCATCTGCGAGGATGCAAAAAGGAAGCTCCGACGAGGCAGCTGCTGGGGCGGCATCCGCCCAGCCAGAGGAGCCGCCGTCACAGCAGGCGCAAAAATCTGTCGATGCCGGCGCCGAGTTTCAAATCAGTTTGAACGAATTTCTGGAGTTTTTGAAGCTTTCTTGTCATGTTAACGATATGATAGCGAAAGCAGATATGGCAAAACCACATACTAGGGAGCCAGTGCCGCCCATGGAGGGGGGCCAAGGGGCGTCCAAGCGAAATTCAAAAAATGACGAGATGGATTTCAATAATTTGGCTGACAATCATCTGGTAAACGAGCTCCTGGGGCTCAAGCGCTGCTATCGCCACTCAAGCACTCGGGATGACAGTCGTGGCAGTGTGTTGGGCGAGCAAAAATCCAGCCTACGTTCTGGCCACGTCCACAAGAGAACCGACGCCACCTACCACGGCCTCCACCCAAAGCTGACCGAGCAATTGGATTCCGTCATCAATGAGGGCATTCTAGACTCGGTGCTGTCCTTTGTCTGTCCAGTTGCAGTGCCCACGGCGTTAACATCTAGCGGACGAGGGAAGACCAAACAGCAGCTGTTTCCGAAGGAGCTTCTTACACTGCCCACACCGACACCCACCAACACGTCCACACTTCCGATGGGGGCAGCCAAGTCCGTGACAGAGATTGCCCATGTGCATTCATCCTTATCGACGACTGCTTCAGCACCATGCCTGCAGCAGGCGGCCACTGATGGATCCCTGCATCCGGAGCCTTCATCCTCCAACAGCATGGTGCGTGCTCTGGTCAAGGAGCCGATTGCCAAGCCTACCGTGAATCCCACGGTCAGGCGCAAGTCCGTGATGCTGCTCAAGGACGGCAAACATTCGAGGCAGGAGAAAAAGGAGTCTGTAGTTCTGAATAGTTATCTAGGAAATCTTTAATCCTTTTCTATTCCTTCAGGCCCGAGGTCGTGATTCATGTCTGCGACGAGGTAAAGAACACCTCCCGAGATTTCACCTGCCCTCAGCATCTGTTGGTCAGCAAGATGGGGTACTTTGCCGATGTGACTGCCGGCCAGCGTCTGGAGGAGATGGACATATCCGTTCACTGCGACATTTTAATATTTGACTGGCTGATGAAGTGGATCAAGCACAGTGCCCAGAGCCAGGACATGCCCGGCCCGGGGCAGAGCAGCGCCGCCGCTTCTGGGCCCCAACTGGATGGAAACAATGTGGTGCCTATTCTGGTCTCGGCCAGCTTTCTGCAAATGGAGCCACTGCTCCTCGAGTGCCTGGCCTTCTGTCATGCCCATCTAAGCGAGGTGGTGCGCACGTCCACTAATCTGTCGTGCCTCAACGATGCCCTGGTCACCCGTCTGGCCGCCATGTTTACGAACCTGGAGCTGGAGATGGTGCGGGACAAGAAGGAGCGCGTAACTCCACGGCTCTGGACCAAACTAATCCAGTCGCTGTGTGAGCCGGATCCAGAGGCCTTGCGTGGCCACTTCTACAGCATGTCGGGCCTCTTCCGCTGTGGTCGCTGCTTTAGTTGCGTAACCAACACCATGAAGTCCTATGTCAGCTGTGTGTCCAGCAACATCCGGCTGAACCGCTGGGGTCAGCTAATGAGCCATCATGTGCGGGATCCCAACTGGGACCTCAACCTCTACATCATGCAGCTCTTCAAGGAGCTGAAGTCCTGGCGCAAGGTCTACTGGAAGCTGTGGGGCAGCTGCCACTATCTCTACTGCTGCACCTGCGAGGCGCACTTTCCCGTCTACCAGATGAACTGGTGCCGCTTCCATCCGGGGGCACCCCAATTTCTGGGGCCGGTGGACACTGCTGGACCATCTGGACGCTTCGCCTGCTGTGGTCAGCAAGCCTTTCGCTATGAGACCCTGCCAGGACCCAATGTATGTGGCAGGCAAAGAACTGGATTCTGGTCTAATCTGCTTGTTTGTACTCCTTCTTAGGGCTGCCAGTTCCGGGAGCACAGTGTCCTGGTGGAGACCGATCGTGAGCGTGCCATTCTGGCCATTGCCCAGCTTGTGGGCGAGAACTACGCGCTGTGTGAGATGCCGCCTTTGAGGGTCCAGGAGATGGCCGCCGCCGGCGAGATCAGCCCCGGTTGGCAGGGCATCTCGTTGACGCCACAGCGCTGCCGACAGGGTCTGCTGCCGCAACTCTGCATGGACAGTGTGTTGAAGAAGGGTGGGTGTGGTCCGGCAGCCCGCTGATAACCGCTCTCTCAATCTGTGTTCCACAGTGACCAATCATCGTGTGAGCCGACGGATGCGTCCCTCGCGCTACCAAATGGACACCAGCACCGACTCTGAGACGACATCCACCAGTGAGGAGGACGCTCGCTGTCTGCGCCCCAAGATGCGTAATGTGCATGACGATGAGGACTACAGCTCCAGCAGCGATGGCTGCGAGTCGGAGCATCGTCCACCGCCCAGAAAAGCACGCGGAAAGAAGAAACGCAAGCGGTATATCCAGTATATCTTATTCAGGATAAACCTAATATATGTTTATGTCTTCCCAGTCCCACCGAGGTGTCGGGTCGCTTCTGGTCCGGCGAGCTGTCGGCTCGCAGCAACCAGGATCATCAGCGCGACTTTGAGGAGAAGATCATGAAGCAAGTGGCCACCTATGTGACCAAGAAAACCGGCAACGATCCGTCTCTGGTGCAAAATGCCCAGCCCCTGGGTGGCACCTATGTCCGCCTTGAATGCGAGTGGAAGGAGATGATCAAGCAACGTCACAACAACCACAATGTCCAGGGCGCCAATGCGACTGGTCTAGCCCAGAACAGCGGCAGCAACCTATGCCTGGGCTCGGTCGTAGCTGGCGGTGGGTCCATGGGTTTGGTCATGTCCAAGCAAAAGCACAAGTAGGAATCAGAATATCGGTCTGATCGGGTGGCGTAGAAATCGTTATGCACACATATAAATTTCTTAGCAAAAATCGTAGACAAAATGTTTAGTCACCAATGTTCTAGTAAAATGTTTAGCGCAAATTAAAAATATCAAAATTAAATATTCAAATGGGCAAAGTTAAGTTCATAAGAGTTAAGAGGAGTAGGTAGAATGAGTTTTCTTTTGGAATATGGATAATGAAAAAAAATCAACATTATCATGCAATTCTTAATATTTTTTATTTATTTATTTAACTTAACGCAATTTACAAAGACTTGGATTTGTTATACACTTCTAAATTTGTTTTTAAAATTTTTAAAATCATTTTCTTTTTAGGGTTAAAAAAAAGAGCTGCAGAACAGGCTATTACAATAAATGCGACGGCACGTAGAAAAAAAAAATATATATAGACAGAGGGGGCCTCTCCTGGTTTCAGGGACTCGCACAGAAATATAACACATGATTGAGAGGATCGCGGGCAGTGCCTAAGGCTCAACCTGTAGCAGGAGACCCGGCGACCAAATGTACAATTTAACGAATCAAAACACAATCATTTAAATAAGTCATCATGAAATGTTTATGCGTACTTTAAACCAAATAGCCCACTTACACAATATATATGTGTGTGTGCGAGTGGGGCCGGAAATTTTGATGTTGTAAAGCATATTGCAAATTGAAAAACGGATCTCATGTCTCCTTCGTGCTGCTAGCACTTCTGCTGTCTGTGCTGATAATCCCAAATTTTGCATAAATAATCATAATCGAATCGGTTGTGACGGCGGCTTGAATTTAGTGGTATTTCCGGGAGGTGTGGCTATTGTTGATGTGTTACTACTCTGTTCTTAGCAAGCTAACTGAACAGGCACTCCGTGGCCTTTTCCAAGTTCCAGTTCTCTTTGGAGAGGACGCCGCGCGCATCATGCTCGTCCACGCCCATATCCCTGAGACGTTGGATTTTTGAATCACAATCGGGAAAGGTGTGGGGACCGCCTGCGTATGCATTGGTCCAGTGCTTGGCAGTAAGCAGAAACAGATCATACTTGTCCTTAAACTGGTATGCCACCACGGCGTCCTGTGGATCATCCGGTTCGGCAGCGGCCAGCAAGGCCTGCAGGGACAGCAACACAGTGCGCAGCGTCATCGCCGCTGCCCAGTTGTCCTTTAGTATGTCCAGGCAAATGGCTCCAGTCACAGACGAAATGTTCGGGTGCCAAATGCGTGTGATAAACCGAACCTGCGACAAGATACAGTTTGTTTTAGCCATCTACCTTTGTTTTAGTGCTGCGCTAGGGATACCCACCTTAGGCGGATTGAAGGGATATGTCTCGGGCACTTTAATTTCCAGTATGAACTTCCCCCCCTCGTAGGGCGTGTCGGGGGGGCCAGCTATTTCGCCGCGAAGCTCTGTCCAACTGTCATTGACAAGTTCAATTTTTATAGAGCACTGCACGATCTGTCAAAGAGAATGATACGAAATTATTTGGAAAGTTATATTATTGCTTGCCCGTATTAGTACTGATTCTCCACACTCGCCGCACGTTCCCAAGAACTGGACAAGAAGCAGAAACCCCAAGAACCCACAATACTGTCGCGCGCCAAAAATGGAAACAAAGTCCGATGCTGCTTCCACCTCAGCCACTGCCGCTGGCAGTGGTGACGCTGGCCATACGGGTAAGTCTCTGGCCATCACATGGCCACATCCTGATCGCTTCTACTTACCTCCTCGCTGCGCATAACTTCCTTGAATTCGCGCTTAATGCGTGATACAGCCATATTCGCCATGATGGTTGTGTGGTTCTATAGTTCTTGTTGTTGCTTCTGCAATATCTGCAATTGCTCCAAGTTTAGTTGCGTAAAATACGCCTGGCTCCGCTTTCCGACTGATATTTGGTAATCTGGTTAGTAATTTCTGTAATATGTACTAGCAACACACAACACACGACAAAGAAAAATATGTGAATTGCTAAATGTTTTTCAACTGATTTTTGACTCTATTATTCTGTCTTTTTGATGTTAAATTGATATATAGTTGTATCGATATAAAAACGTATCGATATATGTTTGTCCGATAGGATTTTAGACCAGGAATACCCCGCGACTTTTCATATTCTACTTATCGATGCACAGGGATAGCTTGAAAAACATATCGGTATTTTTGTGTGATAAGCGAAACTTATTGGCGTTTTTTTCAAAGTAACAATCACAACTATACTCAAAATACCATTTTCCGGCATAAAATTGAAAAAAAAAATTGACTTCCTCCAATAGAGTCTCCACCACACAATCATAAAATTCATTCATAGCATCTTTAAGTACAAATTCTGTCTCATTTGATTTTCCTTTTGCTCAATTCTGGTTGCATTGCTTCTGTGATAGATATTGTTGGTTTATATTATACCTTATCTGCCATAAATTATTTCTAAGCTACTAAAAAATGCCTTTAAACAAAATATCAAGACTTGTTCATTGCTAGATTCTATTAACAATTTAGGCTTTGGATAACCATATCTTGGTACATTTGTAATTCTGTTAAGTAGAATATTGAACCCAAAACTTAAGAAATGCATATGCACAATGCAAAATGCGTCGAATAATCTCCATGAAATAATAATAGCATATGTGTATGTACATATATTTTAGGTATACAATTTTAATTGGGTAACATTAAAGCTGGACAAAGTAAAGTAGTTTTTTTTTTTGAATTTGGCTTACAATGATATTTGCAACCCACTCAAAAATAGTTTTCTTATCGAACTTGTTTCGTATTCGGGGCAAAAAACCTCCACTCCACAGAAATACCTTCAATTCGATCAGCCGCAGCCTTCCATTGGTACAGAGCTAAGGTTATTTTCCATGGCGTCTCTGATCTTGAGCACAGAGCACAACTTATTCTTATAACCTTAGCAAGATGGTTTCATTACGTACCTGCCTTGTATGCGGTCTGTCTGAAATACGAAACCCGTTTTGCCTCTTATAAACAAATCTAAGTTTTGTACTTCTCAGGCGAGAGGCCTACGCCTTGGCAACAGTCTGAAAGAATAGAAATATCACTAATTATGCTACACGAGCTCATGTTTATGCTACATATTTGGGGTATATAAGGCTCAAAGGTAGTTGTGCTCCTATCTACCGTTTGTCTAATGTATGGGGTCAGCCATCTCTGTCGATCAGTGTCAATGCAGTGAGAGTATATAGTATAGTCGACCTACATAAAGGGTATATCCGGAACGACTAACCTTGAATTTATTAATTCCCCTTTGGGTTCCGTTCACGTTTTGCCCGGGAACAAACAAAGCTCCCAAAACGTGTCCAAAAAAGCGCGTGTGTATGGAAGTTGTGGAGCCAGCCAACGAAGCAACAACTCGGATCGAGAATAACCCAGCAGGCACTTCACGCATCAGGACGAGCAGCCGATGGGAGCTCTCCAACAGAAATTGTTTGCTGGGAGCACACGTGTTGGAATGACCGATACAAACAGCAAAAAGATAGCATATGTACATACGCCGGCTCTCTTTCCTGCGGTTTCTCTCTCTCCCCTAAAGCGTTATCTGGTTCCGTGGTCGGTCTCTCTCTCTCTCTCTCTCTCTCTGTCCACACCAAAACTTCAAAACTTCGCTCGCTCCCGCTGGTTGCCTCTTTCTGCTGACACCATCAGCTCGGATTCATTTAGCTTTTGCATTTTCGGAGAATCGGCTGCATTTTGTGGGAATAGAGAACAGAAAGCAACCTCCCCAGTGACCATCTCAATAGTGTGTTTATCATAAAACAATAAATATTTTTTTTTGCGTGAACCAGTAATTGCGACCCTAATTGCCTCTGCACATGTTTCAAGTAAGTAATGTCTCAATATCTGTCCTATCTGTGTCTGCCTGTTTGTTTGGGCCTGAGTGTTGAGTTTTTTCTTGTCTTCGTGGAAAAACGTGCGTCTCGAAATGCGGCACGTGGTTTCGGGCGCATCCACATCCACTATTTGCGGCGCCTCGCTTTGTTTAGCATTTGGAACGGCCATTTGCGTCAGCCTCAGGGATAATACTGTGGAGAGTGCGTCAGCATTTAGCTTTAGTTCATTTATATTTAGACACGCAAAGCATTTGACAAATCGCTGATCTGGCATTCTTCTGTTCATGTACAGCATCTCAAGTACAGTTGTACAACAACAGCAAGACGAGCCCCCCATTGATGGATAGACTGTACTCGGCCAAGCGAGACAGTGTCAGGTAGAGGAGATGTGGATGGGGGCGTATGATTGATCGCAAAAACAAGATTAACCCATAGAGCTTTAGTGGGTTGGATTGGCCCAGAATATTTAAAATTTCTTTCAATCTCAAGTGCAACATGAGGTACATACCTACATATAGTATCCAAAACAACAGATTCCCGCCCTCCGTTTACTATAAAACAGCTGGCCGTGAGCAAGAGAAAGAGAGTGAAAGCACACAAAAGTTGTGCTGGCACAAATGGAAAGCTTCGCTTCTGCATTCAACTGCGCATCATCCTTTGTCACACACTCTCTTTGGCTCTCTTCATCCCTGTGCTTTCCCCTGTGTATGTGTGATGGACGCATACGCCATGTTGTACAGCGCTCAGTTCCATTTTCTCGCTCGCTGCCGCTGCTGCGCTCAGGTGCTGCGTCTGCTGCCGCCCAATCTCCAAGTTTCTTGGAAATATTGCATTAACTAGACAAACAGCTGTCTATCCGGCAGAGAGATAGAGAGAGAGACCGACCTGCGTACGACTTGTTGTGGGACTGGCACAACAAAACGGTGTTTCAGTCGCCGCTTACCTCACAAACGAGACACGAGCAGAATTTCGACTCCTGGGTACAGTATGTCAGATAAGAAATGCTCCGAACCCGAGACAAATGGTGCGTAAATATACATATCTAGCCAATATCCTTCTAATATACCGCGTGTGACTGTGTGTGTAAATTGCATGGCCACTTCGGGGACATGCAACGAACAGCTGTTCGTTGGCCGCCGTGAGGAGAGCTTTTTGGCGCGCGCCTGTTGGCATGCCAGCATATTTTTTATGCTCATGCTGTGCGAAAGAGAGAGTTTTAAAGAGGACTCTCATTATTGCCAGAATTTTTGGTTTGTTTGCGAGGACGCAGTGTTAAAAACCGTAGAAATATCAGAGCAGTAATAGATCAGAGCAAAAAAAGAAGGATGGGGGATCAATTTTGGAAGTTAAGGAGCAACTAAAATTGCTAGAAACAATTTATTTTGGCTCAAATTAATTAATTCTTTTTAAATAAAAATTTTGGAAATAAACAAATTACCAATAATCTAAAAAAAACATCGACTGCTACTCAATCGATTAGATCCACGCAAACATCGATTCTTTTCCAGCTCTAACGCGGGAAGAGCACACGTCAAAAAATCACATGGCCGAGCTTGGGGTGGCTTTCGAGTTTTGTCGCTCTCACACACACACATACACTCACGCGGTAAGCTTTTACGCTGCTGCTTCCGACGCTGGCGTTGCAATATATGAATGAAAAACTGTCGTAAGTGTGAGAGAGCGCATTTTAGGTTCTGATGCTTACATGCGCCGCTGTTCTCTTACAAGCGCTTCTGGCGCTCTTTCTCACTCTCTGCTCCACACAAACACAACCATGCACCTTCACAGATGGGGCGGCGACGTCGCTGCCCGATGGCGCTCTGCTTTTGCAAAAAAAATTTATAATAAAAACTTCTACTCGTAGATTGTGTGATGCCAGTACGTTCTGCTAATCCGATACGCGCTAGAAGTTTGATCCGAGACAATTTGGAGAAACAGGCTGGTTGTCTAAATTTAATCCACTCCAGAATGCCGAACATTAAAGTGTTTTCGGGCACCTCGCATCCGGACCTGGCCCAGCGCATCGTCGATCGCCTGGGCATCGATCTCGGCAAGGTGGTCACCAAGAAGTTTAGCAATTTGGAAACCTGGTAAGACTTAAATATTTTTTTTTTTCGTTGCAAAAAAATGATTAAATCCCAAAAAAGTGAAAACTTAAAAAACAAAAAGTGAACCGATCCCAGGTGAAAAAGTCCTGCGGGCGTATGTATACCAAGTGCTAATTGAATGCTAAGAAAAATTGTGTCTCGTGAGAGACATGTGCTAGAGGCTATCCAGTGCCCAGTGGTCCTTGACATTCGCTGAAGGTTGCCCGCCTTCGAGAGCGGGGCCCTTCACCGGGGGCCAAGAATGTGCCTCAGTTTCGATCCCGACTTGAGTGGAAAGCCTTGATGGTTTTTCTTAAAGTTTGTGGCAGTTTTTTTTGGTTGATTTCTTTTTATTTTTATTGATTTAACAAGTGGACTGTACACCGTCTTTGTCGTTTTCCTGGCTGGCCCTGCCGCGTGTGTGTAGCGTGAGTGTGCCTTTTCGAGTGTGTGTGAGAAGCTCTCTCTCTCTCATTCTTTTCGGCTGGCACGGCAACATTGCCAATGTCGCGTGCAATTTTCGCCAAAAATTAAATAAAGAAGTGTAAAGTGCAGCCCAACCACAAAAGATCTAAAGAAGAAATTGTATTTATTTTATATTTTTAATTAAATTAGCAGCTGTGTATGTGTTGCTTTAAGTGAGCGAGTGTGTGCGTGTGTGTCTAGACTTGCGGCATGCACGCTTTCTGTTTCTTTCCTCTCTGCTTTTTGCTCTCTCTCTATCTCGCACACACACACACACCAACACCCAGCCAATCAGCTGTGCAACAAACAATAACTAAAATCCAGAGAGTTTTTCCACCGTTTCCTTATCAAAACGAGCCTTAGAAAAAGATTTTATGAAAATGACAAAATGGAAACATTAGCAAACAATTAGTGGCGAGCGGTAGAAGAAGAACGAGAAAAAAAAAACGAAAATAGAGGTTATAATACGCGCTAAGCTTTTTGACATGATATGCGTTTGACAGTGTGCGTGTTTTTGTTATGCTCGCACTCGCACTCGCACACACACTCACGCATGCAAAGGTGGGCCACAAAGGAAAGAGCAAGAAAGGGCAACGCACCTGGCGGGGTTTCGAATCATTGCATACCCTTTCATCTTCAAGAATGATCGTCCCGAGTAATGTCTCGGCGTCTTCCATACATCAGTAGCTTTTACTAGTACACGTCTTGATTCCGAATAGAGCCAGAGATAGCCTGCATTGAAAACGTCGATGAAACCAAGTCTACCTATACCATAGAACCTACAAAGTATCAAACTGTTGTGCAAACGAAAATACCTTATCGAGGGTATCAAAAGCCTACGAGCAGAAAACCACAACACCACGTCTCTGTCACGTTTTTCGTTTGCTGACTGAGAGTGGGAGAATGAGAGACAGGCAAAGAGAGGCCAGAAAAAGCGACAGAAGAGCGATACTGACAGCAGTCAGCAGACGTCGCGACGTCGACATCGACATCGACTGCGCCTCCCCCGCATATTTTCTATTGGCGCTGCTGCTGCTGCTGCTGCCACTACTGCTACTGCTGCTGCTGCTGTTCTCTTTGGCTGTTCTCTCGATGTGGCGCTCGCTCTCACCAAACGTCAGACCCCCACGTGTGTGCATAGTGGTTGTTGCTGCTGTTGTTTTGCACTTGTCGGCTTTGTTTTCGTGGTCTCTCTTCTCGGGCATGTTCTGGCGCGTTATGCTCTCATCAGGAGACAGTTATGTATGTGCGCTCTTCTTGCTCCATTTCTAGCTGTTTGTTGTAACGGGTCAACCTTTGCATTTGTCTTGATTACGATTCCTGATAGCAATTGATGATAATGCTCATGATGATGCCGATGATGTTGTTCCGTCTGGGATCTAGAGATCAAGCTCTAGTCCAGATTATAGTCAATTGAAGGGCGCTCAGATGACATCACTGACATCACTGTACAAATGTTACGATTATTATATTATGACTGACACAAATTGGCTTCTTTTTTTCTTTTGGTCAGGCCATTATAATGGAGGATAACAACCTAGAAAAACGGAACACCACTTAAACTATTATTCAAATTGAAAAGAGCGGAAAGGAATTATAGAATAAAGAAAATCATAAAACACGTGTGTGGAGCCAGAAGCTAAAAAAAATAATTCCAATACTAAAACTATAGGATAGTACAGAATAATGAAAAAATTCTTTCGAATAGCGTGAATCGCTTATTCCTGTTTTTTATTTCATTTTTTTTTTTTGGGTCACACGTGATCCAATAAAGTGATTAATATTTCAGGCATTAAAAGTTTATCTGTCGGTAAATGCCACCACAGCCCCCACTTCTCAATACCCTTCCCAGTAAAAGAAATGACCTTTGGTAAGGGAAAAGCCCACGGAAATTACCAAATTCCATGAACCCAAAGTGGTTCGTCGTCGATTTGAAGGTTCCAGAGAGCACGCAATCCAAAACTTTTCCAAGCTTCTTTCGTAAAAGCCCCTCCGCCCCCAAAATGTGAATTACAAAGCAACTTTTAGTTTGTGTTCTGTTCTCTACCCCCGTTTTCGACTGTAAAGTTTGATCGATAAGGAATTTGCGTGTCTGTCTTGTGAGGTCGTCGAGTATCCTAAGTATCAGGGAGGCCGGGTGGTTTTCGAGAGCCAGCTGATAACACAAACCAAGCGAAAGCGATTTTGATTCTGTTGGACTGAGATAAGCCTAGTGGGTTAGAGAGACAGAGAGGGAGAGAGCGAGTGAGATTGGGGTTGCGTGTGGCAACCAGTTTATTGTTTCTATTCTTTTGGTTTCGTTTTCCTTCGTGTTTCGTTTCCTACTCTTTAAAGAGCATTGTACTTTTGATCAGGTGTTTGCAACGCTAAAAATCACCACGATCGCCCTATACATTGCGCAGTCCACATCTCCGCCAACTTTCAATCAACACACAACTTGTAACTATAATTAGCTTAATAAACATTCAATTCTCCCCCTGCCCAGTCGGCAAGGGTGTATGATCTTCGGCGCTGAGAGATTCGCTTGGCTTTGCTTTTTGGCTTACATTATCACAGGGGCAGGGCAGGGCAGGGCAGGCAGACAGACCTGAGACTGACTGATCCAACCGTCCGCCCGGCAAAGAAACAGATAAAAATACATATATAAAAAACAAAAGAAAACGAAATGAAATGAAATATAGCAGATTCTATTTGACGGCCGGCCAAAAAAACAGCTGCTGCGGATGGATGGTTCTTCTGCTTCTGTTACGCGGACAATGCGACACTTTTTGGCCAGCTGCCAATTGCTGCCTCGACTGTGCCCCGCACGTACCCGTGTATCCCAGCCAATGCCTGCCCAGTGTGTACGGGTGTCCCATGTTGCCGGCATGCCAGCAATGTCATGGCGGTGAAAGTGTTTGCCTCTGCCACAGACACGGCCGCTGAGACCTAGGACAGAGTCACGTCCGAGCAATCTCTTCAAAAATGCATTAATTTTACGCCGAATTGCATCCGGACAGGGGGTGATGAAATCGCTGCATTTAGCAGCCACAAAAAACCTGCTGACCGAGGATCAGAGTCTCCCAGCCGGTTGATAAGAAAATCCTCATCCAAAAAAAAACAAAGCCGGTCAATAGAATTTTCTGTGTGTTTGATAAGCTCTGGCAGAAATAGGTTGTACTACGTGTGAGTGGCGTCGAGAATTTGGCATAGATATGGGACCACAGTGAAATAATTACTCAATCGAACAGCTGATGTTCCAGTGTTTTTTATTTTTATTTTTTTATTGTTTGAAAACTTGCAGCCTTTGTAGCATGCTACCTTATTGCTACCCTCTACATAAGAGGTATGAAGAGGTACGAATGAAGACAAAGATTTACACTACATTCAAATAACAGAATATGAACAGAATATGACTCTTTGTGGAACTCCTGATCTCCCAAACACTCTCCGCTATAAACATGTGGCCACCTGATTGGGACCTGAAATTGCATTGAGATCCGATCCAGTTTGTTTTATAGGGTAACGATAACGATAAACTCGAAACGTGGACACCAATGATTTATGATGTTCGTTGGCTACATTTTCACAGGTCGTTCAATCGATAGTCGGGGAGTGGTCGTGAGAGTGGGCTTAGGACTCGGGTCGGGGGCGCTTGGGATGGGGTAAATGGGGTAGTTGGAAATTCTCCCGTCATGTAATTCAATTAACCTTGGAATGGTTTACAAAAGACAACAAAACTATAAGCAAACGAACGCCAAAAAAAAAAGAAGACAAACGATGAAAGAGAAACAGAATTGGTCGAAAATTGTTTTATTGAAAGAAATTGATTTCTTAATTGCTGATTGCTTTATGAACATTAATAAATACCTAAATATATTAAACACATTCTATTCGTATTTCTTACAAAGAAAAACATGGCGCGCTATACAATAAAATACTAGAATAGAAACCCTTAGTTCATATTTGTTTGTGACAGCTGTCATAATTTGTTTAATTAGTGAACAGATGCTACTGTACCTTGTACTGGGCTGTACAAAGGTATTACCTTCCTTCCCCCTCCCCACAATCTATACACCAATCTAGCACATTAGATCCGATAATTGCATTAACATTTATTAAATCTATAGACTTCTAAGGAACTGTAGACCCGAAACCTAATGTATACAAAATAAAAAAATAATAAACGAATCAGAAATTTCAGCGTTAGCGTCTGGCAAAGGAACAACTCATACGCCATTTGTGCTGTGGGTTTCACATGGTATTGGGTTTCCATTGAGGAGTGCCATGTTTAGATTATCCATAAATCATAATGTCGAGGGAGAAGAATATGATTACTTGACAAGAGATGCGAGCGGCGCTCCAAACAATAGATATATCCAATCGCATAAATTAACAAGAATCTGAAACTGAATCTGAATCTGTAACTCTATATTTTGTTTGCAGCGTGGAAATTGGAGAATCGGTGCGCGGCGAGGATGTTTACATCGTGCAGTCCGGCTCCGGGGAGATCAACGACAATTTGATGGAGCTGCTGATCATGATCAATGCGTGCAAGATCGCCTCAGCCTCTCGTGTTACAGCTGTGATTCCTTGCTTTCCATATGCCCGCCAAGACAAAAAAGATAAGGTAGGTTTGCCTCAACATGATCTGTGCTCTGCGCTTTTCCCCAGAAAAAAAAACAAAAAAAAAAAACGAACCAACCTACTATCTAGTATGTACAGTACGTGCAATGAAATAAACCAAAACATAGATCTTCCAAAATTAAGGCACACACAAAAACAGATCAAACTCGATACAATTTTTCGAGGGAAAAGCTAAGAAAGAGTATGCTTTCCCCTTCGATGATTGTTTTCCAGTGTTTAGCTCGATTGTTTATATCTGTATAAATCCGTATAATCTTCTATATCTATACTTGTATGTATTTGGATACTATAATTCCATGTATCTCTCTCTCTCTCTCACTCTATATATACTATCTGTGTGTGTGTATGTTGCTAGTGCATTTTGTTAAAAAATTTGAATTATATTTGCAAGAAAGCTAAGCTGGATAAACAAATGCAAAACCAAAAACCAAAACCAAAAACCAAAAACCAAAAGCAATAGCAATAGCAAAAGCTAAAAATCCCAAAAGCACGTAATTGGAAAATGTGGAAAATTTGTTGACATTAATTTTATGTGAATTTTTGATGAATATTTTATATAATTTTCTCCTCCATTTAGTATTTAATATTTAATTTATATATTTTTATATATTTCCGTGACACGCTCGCTCTCTCGCTCTCTCTCTGCCTGTCTCTCTCCCGCTACCTGCCCCCCGCTCTGTCTCTTCCCACCCTGCGTGTGTGTGTGTGTTTGCCTCTCCTCGCTCTCTCTCTCTTTCTCTCTGTGTTCTCTCTCTCTCTCTTTGTTTCTCCGTTTCTCTCCTGATGTACTCTCTGATTCTTCGCAAAGTTGGCTGGCGGTGAGGATAAAGAGGAGAACAAACTAGCCAAGAAAAACTACGATTGGAAATTTAGGGTATTTACCTTTCCTTCTTTTATCTAGCAAAACAAAAACAAAAACAAAAACAAAACCAACTCTCACCTACTTATATCTCACATTTTTATGTTCTATATACAATACTACAATAATGGGAACTGAAAATTGATTTTTCTAAAAAACAAAACAAAAAAGTTCAACTCTAAAAGGAATAAACCATGGCAATAACTCTCTCATCCTCTCAGATATCTCTCATTTCTCTCACCCCAAAAAAAAAAACAAAAATAAATAAACAAACAGGAATCGAATCGAATCTCTCACAAGGGTCGCCGTCTCTGGGTTAACAACAACAACAACAACAACAAGTTTCTCTAGAGATAAATCGCTTTTTGTCTGCCGCCTGCATGTAATATACCCAAGAAACCTACCTCCCCACCCCACCCTCGTAAAGACCTATCCCTTACCGGAAGAAACTAATCGTTTAAATTGGCAACAAAATAACCAAAATTTTCCACATTTTCCCCCCCTCCCCATGCAATGTTTTGTTTTTGTTTGATTTTGGCTTTTGTCTCGTTTTTGGCAAACGCTGCATTGCAACAAAGAAAAATTAAATAAAATTTAATTAAACAAATATGAAAATGTACATACATACATAATTAATCCGCATATTGTAATAAATAAACATATATTTGTGTGTTGTGCTGTGGATCGTTGGATCGTTGGATTGGTGGATCATTGGATTGGTGGTGATCTGTTGATTGTTGTGATCTTGCACTTTTGGGATCCCCTCCTATCGGTGCCTGGCAACAGGCTTGTTTTCGATTTAATTGAGTTTTTCCATTCCATTCGGTACAGATAATCTATTCATTTTTGACGTCAACGGATGGGTGGCGGGCCTGTGAACCCGGGTCCTTACATTCGCGAATTGCACAAATATTGTTCATTGCTGTAACTGATACAACAATAATCTATAAACAATCTATAAACACAGCCGATTTCATTGAACTGAAAATGAGTTTCTTGACATTCAGCTGAATAGTATATGGAGATCTGCGTATGCTCGTAGAATGGAACTGAGTCGACGAATTGATAATGCCGTTTCCCCAAAATATTGCTTCAATCTTTGTGAACTAATCCTAAGCCTAAGAAAAGAAGACACTCCTTCCCTGTCCGACCGACCCGACCTGCCCATCCGTTTTCCAAAAGCTAATTTTAATTTTAAAATTCTTCAATTCTTTAATTATTCTGACATTTTTATGTTCTCTTCTTTTTTTCTTTTTCTTTTTATAATCTCCGTCTATCTGTATCTGTCTTTCATCAAAAAACAAAAACAAAAAATACCCAAAAAATACCAATACAAAATTTCGATAAAAATACTCGTAAACTTAGGAGTTTTCAGCCAAACAATATACTGTGAGTAGTCGTGAGTTGCCCCAGTGCCCAGGGCAGCTGCTGTTTGGATAAATGGGTTCTTTATCCCGCCCGGGAATTGTTTTGTAGTGCTGCTGCAGCCCGCCCGGAAAACAAATAAAATTGCTTCAGACTTTTGCTTTGTTGCGTTCGTTTTATGTTTTGATTCCTTTGAGTTGATATCCCCCCGATGATGATTTTATCCGTCTAATAGAAGCATATCCCAAACCCTAGCAAACCCCAGCAAATCCCAGCAAACCCTATTCCAAATCCAATTCCAATCACAAGTAGTAATCGTATTTTTGCATGCCAACAACAACAACAACAACAACCGAAAATTGGGATAACCAGAAAAGTACTTGCGTTTCCGTATAATTAACCGATCATTCAATTTACCTCTAACTGAAGTCGCACTCTCATCCTTTGTATGTGGATATCCCATCCAGTGGTCTTCGCTCTCAGCTCATCTTTTTTGGGGTGCACCACCGCACACACATATATAGTTTTGTCCTTTGTGTTGTCGCAAGCGAAAGTCTCTTTTGTCTATGAATTATATTATACATTGGAACGTTCAGCCTCTTTGTTGGTTTATATGTGTACTATATACTATATACTATACTATATACTATATGTATGTGTGTCCATGTTCGATTTTGATTTTCATTGGTTTACTCTCCTCATAATGCCTCTAGCCCTAAGCCCCACCACACCCTCCTCCGCTCAGGAGGCAGCCCCACCTTACTAGCTGCGCTAATGTTAACTTTCCATTGCCTCTCTTTTTCCTACGCTGGTCAATGCACAGAGTCGTGCGCCCATCTCGGCCAAATTGGTGGCCAACATGCTGTCCGTTGCCGGTGCCGATCATATCATAACCATGGATCTACACGCCTCACAGATTCAGGTAAGTCGAATCAGAACAAATACTGAGAACACTGAGAAATGTCTCCTGACGGGCAGAAGTTCGAGTTTCCGCCCAGATGCCACTGTTCTATGACGTTAGGCATTAGGGCTCATAAAAGATACAATCACCTCAAAGAGGAGACATACAGTAGTACAAATATTACAACTAGTTAGTTCGCAAGAAAACTTTAATATAGTGTATACAAAGTACATAGTCTTCTTGTTATCGTCGCATTTTTTCGAGGTCTTTTCCCTATCGATATTTGATTTGTCAGAAACTCATTTGCGATAAGGTAATTTGCTTTTCTTTGATTTTTAATTTCCCAAATATTGTTTTTTCTTGCAAAACCCAAACAAAACTTTATGAAATATATGTAGGCATTGGCAGGAACTGAGGAAAGGAGTATAAAAGGATTAAAACACCATTTGAGGGATATCCGCGAGCTAAGCTTACTCATTCTTGGGTCGTCTTGGATCCATATTCAGATCCGAAAGATGTTTTGATTTGATCAGGGTTTCCTGTAGTATAGTCTCGATCTTCCCCGCTGGCTATCTTTACCGGACGGACGAAGAGTTCGTAGAACAGCAGCTCGATCGCTCCCACCTGGCCTTGAGCGAGCTCCTTCATGTATGGTTCGGACAGAGTTATGTTCAGTTTCTTGAGAACCGTAAAATTGAAAACCTTCCAGTTCTGCAGCTTGTTGGCCACACTGTGCCGTGAGGGAGTGTAGTGAATCAGGTCCACCAGACGAGGGTAGAACGTCTGGGCAATTGTGGCCACCGGCAGTACATCGGAGAACTTGACTCTTTTCTTGGCATTTAGATCGATGCGTTGCTCCTCGAGCCACAGATGCAGATCTCTGGATTCACAGGAATTGAGCTCACGAATGTGTGACATTTTGTTGGAATTTCGATTCCAAACTGATTTGACATTTAAACACTCGATGATTTGATGATTTTTTATTTTCTCTCGTTTCACCAGGGTTTCTTCGATATACCAGTTGATAATCTCTATGCCGAGCCAGCGGTACTCAAGTGGATCAAAGAGAACATTCCCGAATGGAAAAACTCGATCATTGTCTCGCCCGATGCTGGCGGTGCCAAGCGGTAAGCTGTTCATCTCACATTTATATTTATATGGTTTATTTATTGCTATAATTGGTATTGAATTTCCCCTCTAGTGTCACGTCGATTGCAGATCGCTTGAATGTGGAGTTCGCTCTGATACACAAGGAGCGCAAGAAGGCCAATGAGGTGGCCTCGATGGTGTTGGTGGGCGATGTGAAGGACAAGATTGCCATTCTGGTCGATGATATGGCCGATACATGCGGCACCATTGTCCATGCCGCCGATCGTCTGGTCGAGGCTGGTGCCACGAAGGTATGCACTTATGCTCCATGTAGTAGGTCTCGTCTCATACGTATTCCCGTATTTCAGGTGTATGCCATACTGACGCATGGCATTTTCTCTGGTCCGGCGATCTCGCGGATCAACAATGCCTGTTTCGAGGCGGTCGTTGTGACCAATACCATACCACAGGATGGACACATGCGCGATTGTCCCAAGATCCAGGTGAGTCCTCATCTAAGCCTCCTATTTTTGCCTTCGCTAATCTATCCTTTTTTCTCATTGCAGTGCATTGATGTATCGATGATGTTCGCCGAGGCCGTCAGACGGACACACAATGGCGAGAGTGTGTCGTATCTCTTCTCAAATGTTCCATACTAAACCCACGACTAGGGCACCAATTTAGAGCAGCAGCAGCAGCAAAACACCAGAACAACCACAACCACAACCACAACAATCTAACCACCACCCAACTTGAATAACAATTTAAACTACAGAAAATGCAAATGCAACACCAACAACATAAAACATAAAACAACTTGAAACATACATATTTTGCCATCATCATCGTTATATATTTTTTATGGATTAACTAATGTAATTGAAAGCAAAAGCAAAAGCAAAAGCAGAGTAGATCCGGGGGGAGGGGAATGAAAAACGTCATTATGTAATTATCTAATGAATAGAGCCTAAATATAACACACATACACACACACACACACACACACACCAACACCCACAAAAGTACACTATTTCCATTGCTTTCCTTTTGTAAATTAAGAGTTTTGTTCAATCCCCTTTTTCCGATTCTCAAGAGAATTCCCATTTTGGAACCCCATTTTGGTGTACGTACACATTGGCCTGCTCTTAGAGAGAAATTTAGATATATAGATAAACAAGAAAAAAAACAACAACAAACACTGTAGAAGATATATATATACACACACACCTCCCTACATACACAAACACTCACACACACAACAAGAATATTGTAGTTTTACACTGTGCAACAAATTTTGGATGATTCTTTAATCTATGTAAGTCTTTGAGCAGAGAAGCGACAAACTCAACAAAGAAAATTGAAAACGCAAAGTAACTTGCAAGTTCAAAGTAAAACAACAAAATAAATTCTAGTAAAATTAAGAAAAACAAAAGATAAGAGAAAACAAAATACAATTGAAAACAAGAAAATAGCAGATAGGCGTTAAAAAAAATAATTAACAACAAAACAAAAACCCAATCAACAAAAAAACTAAAGAAAATATACAAAAAAAATATTACAGAAAACTAATCAAAAAGAGTTTTACTCGATGATAGGTAACGAAACTGTTCCATTCCAAATTTCCAATAATCGATTGACCCCAGCGACCGATATTCATATGTGACCAAAAGGTATAATTTGTATTTAGAATAGATCTACCTATCATCTCTAAAAAATCAGCAAAGACACATCATATATATTCTTATATAATTTTATTTTTTGAAAGATCCAAACAATATGTTTTAAAAACTAAAATGAACATTGAAAACTATATGTTGACGTTTTCAGGAATTCGCAAAATCTAAAAGAAAGGAGTAGAAAAGGATTTAAAATATCATTTGAGGAATGTCTGCGAGCTAAGCGTACCTTGCATCTTTTTGGCCTTATCCAAATTTTTCTTAAAACTTGAATTCATCTGTAACAATTTCACCGATAGCTTACACAATTGGCTCATCAGGTCGTCGATGCGGCTGTCTTTTAAATTTATAACGTCTTTCATATATTTAGTTTTCTCTTCTAGTCTGCTAATGTAGGCGTCCTTTGAAACGCTTGTACGCATGTCCTTCTCGTAAATATCGTAAGGTACTACGTGGTACGGCATCTCCAGCACCGTGCCGTTGATCGTTTGCCCCGCATCGACGATTAACATCTCCGACAATGCCAGCACTGGGGCTGGCCTTGAGATGCTGTTGAAGGTTAGTGACCTCGACTTCAACGATAAGTCCTGGACTGAGGCAGCCCCTGGGGTCTCGACGAATGTCAGTGACTTCGAATTCAACGGCTCGCTGGATTTCTGCAACAATTCGTTGCGTCTCTCCAACGATTCTATGCGTTTCTGCAACGCTTCTTTGCGTTGCTTCAACGACATGCTGTGTCCCTTAGGCGTCTTTCTCAGTATCTTAACCGGCTCGTCGGGTGTCCTTGACTCTCTGGGTGTCTTGATGCTTCTGTCCGCCACGAAAAGGTCGTAGAATAGCGACTCTATTGCCCCTCTGCTGCCTTGGGCGAGCGCCATTATGTCTGATTCGGACAGCTTTATGTTCAGTTTCTTAAGAACTCTTGCATTGAAAATCTCCCAATTCTTCAACTTGAGAGCCACACTGTTCCGTAAGGGAGTGTACGGATTCAGGTCCACCAATCGAGCGTAGAACTTCTTCACAATTATAGCAACCGGAAGAACATCTGAGAGTTCGCGTCTCTTCTTGCTATTCAGATAGATGCATTGCTCCTCGAGCCACTGATTAAGATTTCTATCTTCGTCGAAATCAAGATGCCGAATGTGTGACATTTTGTTGGAGTTTAGATTTAAAAAAAAAATAAATTTTTGTTTTCTGTAACAGTTTTCTGTAACGTTGTGATAGGTTTCGTCTTCCGAAATGATTTGAACTGAATATGCTCGTAACGCTCAAAGGTTGCCCCAATGAACACTAGATGATTTTGTTTTATCGTTTCGTATCTGTTCCCTCGAATATATTGATGCTGATCCTTGTGAATCTTCCAATTTAGATGGTTTCTACAACAGATGGTATCTTTAGAGAGGTTCATTAAAGAATTCCAAATAATTCTCAAATTCCCCTTAGAAACTATTCTTTGATCTCTCTCTTTTCAATATAAATTTGTACTTATTTATGGATTTACGTGGTTCCTACTCTTCTTATTGGTACTATGGATAGCCCATCCCTAATCTCCAGCCCTAGCCGTTGAAAAATCCATTTCTGAATACATTTGATTCGTTTCCAGACGATATTCATTTATTTACATAATTATGATGAAATATTTAGTGTTTTCGATCTGGTCTCAGTACTCATCGAAATCCTCGTCATCGCCTCCGGCGTCGTCCAAATTGTCCAGGCCGACCTCCTCGAAGTCGCGCTCCAGCACGGAAATGTTCTCGCGCGCCTCTGTGAACTCTCCCTCCTCCATGCCCTCGCCGACGTACCAGTGGACGAAGGCCCGCTTCTTGAACATCAGATCGAACTTGTACGACAGACTGGAGAAGGCCACCGAGATGGCCGTGGTGTTGGAGAGCATGCAGCAGGCACGGGACGTGGGGGCCAGATCTCCGTTGGGGACGAAGGCTGGCTTCTCGTAGTTGATGCCGATCTTGAAGCCGGTGGGACACCAGTCGACAAACTGGATGTGCCGCTTCGACTTGATGGCCGAGACGGCGGCATTGACATCCTTGGGCACCACATCGCCACGGTAGAGCATGCAGCAGGCCATGAATTTGCCGGCCCGCGGATCGCACTTGACCATCATGTTGGAGGCCTCGAAGCAGGCGTTGGTCAGCGTCGTGATGGCGTGCTGCTCGTGAGCAGCCCGCGCGGCGGACATCAGCGGGGCGTAGGCCACCAGGGGGAAGTGGATGCGCGGAAAGGGTACCAGATTCGTTTGGAATTCGTTGAGATCCACGTTCATGGAGCCATTGAATCGCAGGGAGGCCGTCGTGGAGCTGACAATCTGGGCGATCAGCCGATTCAGATTGAGATAGGCCGGTCGGTCCACACCCAGGCTGTTGTTGCAGATATCGTAGATAGCCTCGTTGTCCACCATGAAGACGCAGTCCGAGTGCTCAAGGGTCGAGTGGGTTGTCAGCAGGGCGTTGTAGGGCTCCACCACGGCCGTGGAGACCTTTGGCGAGGGGTAAACCGCAAAGTCCAGCTTACACTTCTTGCTGTAGTCGGTTGAGAGGCGCTCCACCAGCAGCGAGGTGAACCCGGAGCCAGTGCCTCCGCCCAGCGAGTGGAAGATGAGGAAGCCCTGCAGGCTGTCACATTGCTCGGCGATCTTCTGCAGCCGCGACGTCACCTTGTCGATCACCTCCTTACCAATGGAGTAGCGTCCGCGCGCATAGTTGTTGGCCGCATCCTCCTTTCCCGAGATCAGCTGCTCCGGATGGTATAGACTTCGCATGGGTCCGTTCCGCACATCATCGATGACCGTCGGCTCCAGGTCGACGAATATGGAGCGTGGAACCTGCTTTCCGTTGCCCGTCTCCGTGAAGAAGGTCCGTGCATCGTTGGCCGTGGTGTCGTGCCCCACGCTGGCGCTGCTACCGCTGGCCAGCAGCTCCTCCTTGGTCTTGGGGCTGCCATCTAAATTGATGCCGTGCTCGAGGAGGTACAGCTCCCAGCAGGAATTCCCTATCTGGATGCCGCACTGCCCGATCTGGATGGAGATGACTTCGCGCTAAAAAGAGGGAGAGCGAAACGAACGATAGAGAAGGAGAAACAGAGAGGTCGCCGCCATTGTTGGAGGTTAGGAAAGTTACAACAATTTCGGGGCAGGAAAACTCTTTGGAAGATCATCTGAAGATTTCACGATCTTACTTTGTTTTAGAATCCCATCAATATTTAATTAAAGATATCTCTGGTCTGCTGGAAAATTCACATAGAAGCGACTTTCCAGCATATTTTTTTGCTTGATTAATACTTTTTTTTTAACCATTATGTTGTTTTGTGCGTTTTATTTGACAGATCTTTATATAAATCTCACCATTTTATGTCTTTTATACTTTTTGCACAGCTAAAATATAGAAATACAATTTAAAATCAATTTTCAAGGGCCACGGGACACGAATGACTTCCACGACTTTTGGATATCTTCTTGTTCTCCTTTTGCTTGTCCGTCCACGCCGCTCGAAAAGTACTTGGAAGAGCACCGTTACGGATTGCGCGCAAAGAGGAATATCAAACTGCAGCAGCGCTGCCATCCATCCAAACTGCAGTCATGGGGAGGGGCTGCAATCCAGTTGCGATCGGTACAATCGGTTTGAAACTCGGATTTTAATGAGCATTTATCGGTTTCAAAATCATTTTTAAAAACTTAAAAATATATGTAAATAATATCATGGCGGTACTAGGACTTGGGCTAATCCTTGCTCATGCCAGGTGGGAGCGTCACATCGAACACAATGGGGGGATTGTTGGGTAAATAATTTATGTCGCATGTAGAGGCATTCACATATATGATCCGCCCGTCGCTGGTGATTCCATAGCCCTCGTGGACATGGCCGAACACATGGTACTTGGGCTTCACCCGCTGCTGTACCGTGGAGAGCAGCTCCACGCAGCCGGCCCGCACGCCGGAGCAGCACAGATCGCCATGGCCCACTGGTGGCGTATGGGTGACGAGTATATCGACGCCCGCAGGCACTTGGTTCCACTTCTCCAGACAGGCGGCACCGCGTGGCACATTGAAGGCCCAGCGACAAAACTCTGGCTGCCAGGGTGAGCCGTATATGCGGACGCCCCACAACTCCAGCAGCTCGTCCTCCAAGTACGTGCAATTGGTGAGAACCTCACGGATATTCTGCGTCTGCACGGCGCTCTCCATGCTCTCCTTGGCATTGCCCAGGGTCGGAAGGTCGTCCAGGATGGACATACCCGTGTGCTTGGTGCTCGAGTGTCCCTTGGCGTTGTTCTGAAACGGATGCGTGAACGTTCGGTCGAAGCTAAGCTCGTGATTGCCAGCAATCACGATCTTGTGCCGATGCGGTAGGGCCCCGATCCACGTGTTGAACTCCTCCACCTCTTCTAGCTGGCCGCACTTGGTGAAGTCCCCTGCGTGGATGAAGATGTCACCATCGGGCACATCGAATTTGATGTACGGCGTCAGGGAGTGCGTGTCGGACATACAGACCACGCGCGCCTTGTTGGCCGCCACCGCATTCGTTGGAGGCTTCATGGTCACCTTGATGACGCGCTGCGTCTTGCTGATGTCCTTCCACGCGGCAGTTGGATCGCTGCTTAACGGATGAACGGGCACTGTCGGCATTTCCATTGTTTTTCTGCAAAAGTTTCACGGAATTAGGACCGGTAAACGGGGGAGTGACTGCAGGGAGAACTCACTATTTCTTTGTGGCGCACTGTTTTGGCAAGTCAGTGCAATCGCCAGCGCATCGCTGAACGCTGATTAGGAGACATTTATTTATGTTTAGTTAAGTATTTGGTGTATTTAGTCCATGTATTAGTCAAAATTTGTGTCGTGACGTCATATCAGCTGGCCGCCGATAATTATTAAGATATTCATCGATATTCGATTAAGGCGGGCTGTTTTAAATTACTGTTTGTGAATTCTCCTTGCAGATCCCTGATATCTGTCACCTGAACTGCGCTGAAATTCGTCACGTTTCAGAATTTTTGGGGGTGTATTTTAAAAACAGACTGGGTTACATATTTATTTATAATAATATTCCTTGATTTGGCAATATCACCAAGTAACTACAAGGTAACTAGACATGTCGACTACATATGTATGTACAAAAAATCCATTTCTACATGCTTTTTAGATGTGGGACGTCATACCAGCTGACGATATCGTTACGATACTAATCGATATTACATATTCAGCTGTTGTACGACCAGGTGGCAGCGCTGCATAAACAAAAAACAGCTGATCTTCTTTCTGCTTCTTCTACTATTTGTACAATTTTCATTTAAAATTAAACAAAAAGTGACCCAAATAGAATAAAAGCATAGTAAAATAGTTATACCACCGTGTAAAAGTGTTCCCAACCACAACTGAGTGCAACTGGAGTGCACAGCCGTAAGGAAAACAATCCGCATGCCCCGACTTTGGGAGGCAAAAAAAATGGCCGCAGCTGCAACTTTCCCAGACTCATGTTTTTTGCGAAAAAACCAATTGTAACATTGCCAATTGATTGTACGAGGCGTCTTCGTTTCCCAGGCCCCCCCGAAATTACGGCAAATGGAGGAGCAGCTGGAGCTGCAGGAGGATTTACTTTCCCTGGACGGTGGTAATGGTGGAATAGGAGGCGGCGTCGCAGGTGAGTGTCGGTCGGGCTGTAAATGTTCTATTTCTGGCCAAAAGCACTTAAGTGTGTGTGTGTTTTTTTTTCTGGTCTGCCGCCTGGGTGCAGCTTTTTTGTAATTAGCTGCGTTTCTTTTTTGCTGCAGTCGCTGCTAATTGTTTACGCCCACCTACCAGGTCACAATCGTTCTGCCCCTTTCTGTGTGTGTGTGATATCGCATTTACAGTTAACAGTGCACAGCTTTCGGTCGTCTCTTTCCCCTCCTCTTTCCACATTTAGCTGTCTGCGTCGGCGCTTTTGCATCTGTTTATCCGTTTGTTTGTTTGCTCTGTCTTCCTCATTGCTTAAGTGATGATTCACTTTGATTGCACACGCACACACGCAGTCGTACGACACTCGACTCGCAGACACACATACAGACATGTGAGCACATAATCAAATACAACAATTTATGGTTTTTTATTCACTGTTGAACAGTGGGGTAAATATTATAAAAAAGGGCATTTATTGGATGTGGAAAATGT